TGCAAACGGCGACTTGGACGAGTCTTGATATCATTCGATTCAACGTCGTTGGCACCAATGGACGTGAAAGTGCATGCGACGAACGTCACAATGACGAAGGCTTTCAAGATGCCGAAGTGCATGATGCTTACAATGTAAATGCTCTTCACGGAAGAAATTGACGAATGTTTGCAGCACAAACGAATTCATTGCGTTTGGTTGTAAGGTCTTGACCATGAAATGATCGTAATGGTGTCGTTGACAGATCATGAAGATTCACGTTGCGACACTATTGGTGGATAGGCTACATAGGAGCATTTAACAACGTTACTTCGAGGTAGAAATGCCGTAAACATGCAACTGGATGTTTGTCGTCACTTCGACAGCTTCGTCTTTCCAGTCTATCGTTGTTAATGGACCATGAACCATCCTCTAGAAGCTTCAGCTAAGAACGTAGGTGTTATTTAGGAAGAGATATTGTAATTTGAAACTACATTGACGAGTATTCTTGACGTAAAGAAAGCAACCGTGACTGGCGAGTCTATTGAAGGCTAGTGCAGAAGAATAACACTATCTTCATTGCTTTTCCTGAGGTTCCACATGTTGCTATGTCCTATCTGCAGCTCGGAACAAAAGTGGAAAGCCTATTAATTAGCAATGCACCACGTCCATTCTCTTCGATAAAAGGGTGGATTCGTTCTTCGAGTGACCGTTGTGTCTGGCGCCTTTTAGTCATCAGTCTCTCAGTAGAGTTTTTGCCCGTAATATCAATCTTCTCTGAGAGAAAGTTACGATAGATCCGATATCCGACCGCGAGATCCGTTCGAAAGACACCTGCTTGTCCACTTAAAGTGAAAAGATGACGCTCATGCAGTGCAACAAGCTGCTTCTGTGTGATGACTTTCGAAGTAGCGTGAATTCTCTCATTCATGACATCAAGGCGAGCTTTTCGAGAATAATTTCGCGAAGCAAGTCCATCATCCCTCGAAGGTTCGTGAGTAGCACCAATAACATAAGTTTCACGAATTTAACTATTGACCGTACTTTTTGACTCATCACAACATCAGCTAGCTCAATTATGCGCCATTTTCATATTCCAGTCGCTTTTAAATCCGAGCACCAGTTCAGATGTGGGAAGAAAAACACAAACAAGTGGTTGATCAAACGTTCACCTCTTTTCAAAGATGCATCTTGACGAGTCAGTTTGACATCTGGATGGGTGACAATGATTTCAACGGACATCTCTTTCAGGACTCAGATAAGTGGGTTCAATACCATTGAGGTGTTGGGGCAGTTTAAAAATACCAGACGCGATCCAAGGCAGTGAGTATATCCTAGAACCGTGATTCTCACTAACTACTTCACTTTATCCTCAATCACTCAGACTTTTCGATGCTACGAGGAGATGTCTACATCTATATAACGTATTTGTCGGTGAAATAATGAAAAGGGGGCACAACAATCACGAACAAAAGAAGAGTTTCAAAAAAAGTGAACACATATTGAAGAACATTTAATCAGTAGTACGCTACCGAGACATGATATACAGCAATCAAGTAGTTGGAAACGTCTGAGGAGCCGTTCGTGGTGGACCGTCAGCACCAATGGTAAGTTTGTAGGTACCATACGCTCCGAGTGCAATAAGAAGACCCATTCCTGCCATCTTGGCAACTTTCTTAAACTTCTCCATTTTCGTCTTTGGAAGTTTAGTATACTCTTTCATAGCTTGCTTTAACGTCTTCGGATCCAGGTCTAATTCTTTCATATCTTTCACGTAGTTGGCGGACAAAGTCTTGGCTCTTGCTGTAACATCATCTGCACCACCTCCCGCTGCTTTGGCT